AGCCACCCTTTGCTTTTCAGCTGGCACACATATTCTGAAGGAGCAGGGAATAAGGGCTCACCTACCAAGGGCGCGAGGGAAACTTGCAGACAGAGCAATGCAATTACTACTTTGTAATTATGCCGGTAAACTCCATGTGTGGACATCACCCAGCCACTGCAGAGGTGGCAGAACTATGGCAGAGTAGGCACTGCTACTGTTATGCCAGTCAACTTCTTCTGTAAACAAGCCCTAAAAATAATTTTCTAGATAAATTAGGCTTGCAACATAAAGAAGGGAAGCTTTAGACAAAACCTGCTTCAAAAAGTGTTCCCACTACTGGAAGTGGCACAGCTGTATCCTGCTGCCAGTGCAGAGGCACAGCAGCACTGCCTTCTGCCTGCTGTTTTGTCAAACCATGTTAGTTACTTAAAATTTAGAATAAAATAACTTTGAAACTCTATGAAGATGGCATTTACACTGAAAGGCAGCAGGCCAAAAGTGAAGAAAGGATACCTTTGAAGAATTAAAGATTTTAATTGCTCAGACAGCGACTTACAAGAGCTGGACTAGCTTGATACACCCCAGACCAATGGGGTAGTTGTGCACCACACTCAGAGCCCCTAAGGCTTTAAAGAAAGTGAGAAAGATACATTGAGCAAGAGTCAGAAACTACTTTTACTGATGTTCCGTAAGTATTCCTGAATAATTTAAATCTGTCAAGTTGTGCTGGAAGTATTCCCGATGAGCCTAGGAGACACGTGGACTCAATTACCAAGCGCAGTGATACCAAGAGAGCAAAAATACATTAACCAGTATCTGACTGTTCCCAGGCAGCTGCTGAGGTGAAGCACATGAGCCAGCCGATGCCTCAAAGTGTACTGAAGTGCACAGAAGTTTTTGCAGTTAATTCCTAGCGGCATGTTTCTTCAACAATACCTATGGATGTTTGCTCCTTGGCATTTAGCATCAACAGGCACAAAACTCTCATGTGAAAACAAGGTAACAGCGTAATATACTCACATTGCATAACGTCTAAAACTACGTGGGCCATTGTGATGGTTTTGGCTGGGATAAAGTTAATTTTCTTGATAGTAGCTGGTATGGGGTCTGTGGGGCTGTGTTTTGGATTTATGTTGGAAACAGCGCTGATAACCCAGGGATGTGTTTGTTCCTGAGCAGGGCTGACACAGAGCCAAGGCCGTTTCTGCTCCTCACCCCACCCCACCAGCAAGGGGCTGGGGGGGCACAAGGAGCTGGGAGGGGACACGGCCAGGACAGCTGACCCCGACTGACCCCAGGGGTATCCCACACTGTATGGCGTCATGCTCAGCGTATAGAGCTCGGGGAAGAAGGAGGAAGGGGGGGACGTTCAGGGTGATGGCATTTGTCTGCCCACGTCACCGTTACGTGTGATGGAGCCCTGCTGTCCTGGGGATGGAATGATGAACACCCACCTGCCATCTGATGGGAAGCAGGGAATGAATTCCTTGTTTTGGTTTGCTTGCATGCGCAGCTTTTGCTTTACCTATTGAACTGCCTTTATCTCAACCTAGGAGTTTTCTCACTTTTAGCCTTCTGATTCTCTCCCCCATCCCACTGCAGGGAGGGAGTGAGCAAGCAACTGGCTGGGGCTCAGTTGCCAGCTGGGGTTAAACCACGACAGCTATATAACAGTAGCTGCTGCTTTTTTTATAAGCTTACATTTTAAGTTATTTAAATATTAAATTGTATTTAAAATGAAATAGAATTTGAAAAGCAAATTTATTATAGAATTTGCTGTTTGTTTCAACAGAATTGAAAAACGTGGTTTGCTTAGCCTTGCCTTAATTTCACCAGTGATAATTTAATTTTAATTTGTACCATCTTACCTCAATCAGTTTGTTGGCATGTTCACGGAAAACCTGGGCATATTCTTTAACTTCTTTTTCGTTCCCGTTCTTGGCAGCTTCAATCAATACTAAAAGCGGAACATTTGTTTCCAGAAAAGAGTCCGATACATGGTCCATAACAGCTTTGCGGAGCTAAAATAAAAATAAAAGAATGAGATAAGTTTCAGTAGTGTTCCACTGCTGGTTTCTTTTTACTGTATTAAAACGTAAAGCTTAAGTAATTTTGTCATTGATCCTTTTTCCTTTGTGTGGTCAAGGCTTTCCCTGCACTAAGTCTTGTCTATACACTTTTTGCTTCAATTTAAATTAAATCTCCTTAAAAAACTGGATTAGTTATGTAAGTGCAAGTCACCAGTTTGGCCACAAATATTGATTTAGCGGCTCTTGTTGGTTTTGTCTGAGTAAATTTGCTGCTTTCCCTCAGCTGATTAAACATGCTGATTTATTTTTTTTTATTTTTCTACTAGAATAAAAAACATTTTTCAACAAACTTGATCCATATTCACATTTACTTGAAAAGGGGAATATATTGCTTTAAAAACCAAACAGACAAAAGATTGATGTTACATAAATACAGCCCTCGAAGAAAATAAGCTGAGATGAATACCATCAGAATTATAAAACATACCTGCTTATGTTCAAATCCATAAAATGTGAGGGTTTGGGGTTTTTTTTTGTTGTTTTTTATTTAAATCTCTCTTGCCACAAGGATGATTAAGAATCCAACGTCTTTATTACATAGTTAACAGGGGATTACACTTCCACCCCATGCTTCCAGGCACTGGGAAGCTTCTAGCTTTTAATTCACTAACTACAAGCAGGCAAGCCCACTGGAAACAAACCAACAGATAACATATTTCCAAGAGGGCAAACATGCAGGAATGTACTCATTTGTCTCAACAAGTATCAACTTAATATATTAATTACCTGTCTACGCAAGTCTCTGGTCTTTTTGGTCATTTTATCAATTGCAGAATTCAGTGCATCACTTCTTTCTTTGCGTCCAGCCTGAAAAACAAGACACGAAGGTAAATGGGTGCTCAGGGTCTCAAAGTAAAACCAGCATTATGCATTTCAAGCACGTTGCTGGCTTCTTTATTCTTTAAGTGATTATGCACACTAGAAGTAAACTCTCCGCCTCCCTGATAAAGCACTCTCTTCCTGGCCAGTTTGAGCAGTACAGGAACATCTGACATCTTAAGATTTTACCTTTAAGACTCTTCAGCTTTCTTTCAGAAGAAAAGGATGGTTTCATAAACCTAGACTTTTTTTTTTTTTGCTCCTTATCAGCTGGAGACCATATTCAACCTCCGAGTTTTAGATTTCTCTTTTCTGCCAGCTCAGTCAATCACCCCAGGGCTGGCACTGCACTGAGCCCAGAACAGCCCTGCTTTCAATCCTCAATATTCTATGGCTTCGGCTGTCGAGATCGCCCAGGGCCAGTGGATTGCACACAAACATCTCACACGCTGCCTTCATCCTGCAGGTATGAGCATTATGCAAGCAGCCCGCAGGGCTGCACATCCGATACAAGAGTGCTCTCCTTTACACATCTTCATACCTAGCTATCACAGAAGACTGTTCTTGAGCAGTCTTGAGCGAAAAAAAAAATTAAAAAAAAATAAAAATCAATTATCTTAAAGGTAAAATCCTTATAAAACATTTGTCCGGGATGAAATCCAACACTTCAAGTAAGCATCCAGGCCCACCTGCTGAGAGTTGGATTTTGCCAAGGTTCAATACAGCAAATTTTGTATTAGCCCTGTTGTTAAAGAGAGGGCAAGCGGCCAAGAAGCAGTGGCAGCTTCTCTCTTTTTAAGCAGACACTGGGTCAAAAATATACCAATTTGTATCAAATTGGGAGTGTTGGATAAAACAATGGTGGTGGTCTGGTTTTGCTGGGATTTTTTTTTCTGTATAATATAGCTTATATTAAAGTTTTGAAACACACTTTATGCAACCGCAATCCAAGCTCTAAAGTTCTAAGCCACGATCAATATAATTATCCCCTTGAGAAGAAAAAACATTTAGCAGCACTAAAGTGAGTGTATGCCACTATCAATTCTCCAGGATCCAGGCTTGTTTGAAACACCTGGATAGGCAGCCTGGAATCTAAAACATGGGGTCCACTCTATAGCAGAAATAAAAATTAAACAAAATAGGGGGTGGGAGGGTGGGTGGTGGTGTTTAGGATGTTGTAAAGTCATTACAGTTTAATGAAATATTGAATATTTGTCACCTCCCTGATTCTCATCACAACGGGTAACTGAAAAGCAATTGAAATTAAAACCAGGAGCTCGTTCTGTCTATGCCACAGCCTTTGACAGACCCAGCATTGGCTTGTTCTTCATTCCACATTCAAAAATCAAAGCCGAAGTCTCTAAATAAAGCAAAGAGTAATGCTACTTATTTACTGAACAGTTTGCTGTTCTCATGCTTGGGGGGTATGAAAACCAAGACACGGTTGGGCCAGAAAGTCCCTGCTGAGCTTGCTTTGAACACCATCGCTTTGTCCCAAGCTGCAGCTCCGAGCACACTGGTGGCAGTGGGTACTGCCTGCACCCCGAGGCGGGCAGCAGGCAATTCACCCAAAAATCTGAAGCCTGCCAACTGGTACTGCACAAACTAAAAGCCTGCTCTGAGAGTCTTTCTGATGGTTTCACATCAATTTACCTATTGCGACATGGTCATTTTACTGAACCCACAGCACCCCCCTGTACACGTGGGTGGGGTTTTTTTCCCAGAAATATCTTTGGACCCAAGATATACACTCATCTAGTATGTAGAAAGCCAAACAACCAGTTATCCCAAGAAGTGCCATTTTACTTCTCCCTGGGTGCCCCTGCATTACCATTTTACCGCAAAGCAGGAGCGTGCTTTTGAAGCGAGTCCACCCATCGCTTCCACTTTGCTGTCCCTGGCTTCACAGCCCAGAACGGCCTCAGTGCACGAGGGGCAGATGCCTTTTGGATGAGAGGAAAACCAAGAGATGGCTTCCACTAATGGACATTCAGTTGATGAGACCAGACCACAGCCAGCCCTATGTAAAATGCCCTGGAAAGCATGCAATGCATACACCGCGTGCCTAAGCAGCACCAATTTGGTACTCTTGATCCGTTCCTATTAAGCTACACCACGTGTTAGCGCAGAAAGAGCTGTAGAATATAAACCCAAGAGATTCTAGCAAGGCAGCTCCAGTTTATTTCCACATTGTTGGCATTCAGAAGTTTTAGTGCAGAGCTCGTCAAAAGTATTAACAGAATTTCCTTCTGAAGGTTGCAACATAAAACGCCCTGCTAATTTAGCTGCGGTAAATTAACAATTTAGCACATACAGCTACTAACCTGGCTCTTTCGTTATGGCTGGTGCAGCGGGGCAGAACAGGACAAACATGATGGACGCCCGCACATCTACGGCTACAAAGACCCTGTTGTCATTAACATCTTAAATCATCACAGCCAATTCTAACACCAAGGTGCTGGCCAGGACACAAGGATGTCAAGTTTTGCCCATTTGAAGTATCTTGACTTTTTTTTTTGTGTGTGTGTGTAAAATGAAACATAAAACACTAACCGTGGGACCAAGTACGCCCCGTTAGGTCCAGGTGGAGGCCACTAGTGGGACAGCGATCACTGGAGTACCTGAAGAGCTATAGAGCCTGAGGCTGCACAAACCCTCCAGGGCACATAAAAACACTGAAGATCATCCTTGACCACAACAGTCACTTTGTCCGGGCTCCCACGCACCGTGTGAATTTTACACATTGGTTCCACTTTACAAGTCTTGTTTAACCTAGTCTCTCACTCTCAAGTCATAAATCGTGTTTTAAAGGCTCCATGTGACGGTTTACAACCTCTGGGTAATTTGTTCCAGTAACCAGTTACCCTTACTGCTAAAAAACTGGTCTTTGTTTCTGGTCTAAGCTTTCCCTGAGAAGCCAGCTAATGACCGGGCAGCACAACACACCCCAGCTATCAGCTTCTCTTATCCACGGGATTAGGAAGACTCACAATAACCAAACCTGAATATTCAGACTACTAATAGGATTTCTAGATATTCAGCACAAAACTCTGCTGAGAGAATCAAGCTCTGCAGTCAGTAAGCAGCTAATAGATTCAGTAGATTGAATAGGGTCATGTTGACCATGTCAGTCATTTTGCAGTATGATACCACAGCTCTCTCTAGTATCATGGATAACAAATTTAGCCACTGTGCAAGTTTACTTTAAATTAAATCAGATCTTTATCAAAGACGCTAGAATTAGTGTTAAAAAATTGCTTGTTCCCCCCATCCCCCATAATCTCTGCTCTTCCACCATCATCGCTACCCTGCTCAGAAAGCAATACAAGCAGTCACTGTCGCATCCTTGCTGTTCCAGCTCACACAGAGATCCCCACTAGGGTTTGTTTTAATGGCTCAAAGCAAAGAAAGGGGATTTGTATATAGAGAGGCAAGTGGAATCACCATCTTGGTCACAAAACATTCCCTTTGTAGGCTTGCCCTCTCGATTAAAAGAATAAAAAAAAAAAAGTAAAACCTGAGCCAAGTTTTTCCTATAGCTACTGATGTTAAAATCTAACCCCAAATGATTTATAGAAGTAACAGAGCATGGTGGTGGCGGTGCACGAACGCTGTCTTAAAGCCATCAGCAGCGCACGTATTACAACGAATTACTCACACAGCCAGGTCTTCACAGCTAAATATCAAAACCTGCCACTGTTAATCTCAACAGTTCATCATCAGTTTAGGTTAAGCTAAAACCACAGAGCTATTGAGAAACAGTGCCTCCTGCCCTGCACCAGCCCTCACAGCGCACTCACCCCTGCAGAGCCTGGCATCCCTCCTCCCCAGATCAGCACCCAGATGTGAGCCAGATGTGCCACTGCTGCGTGACTGAGAGCCTCCACTGCCCTGCCTGCTGCCCACCACGCAGTTACCTAAAAAGATGGTTCGCAGGGAGGCTTCTGCTTCAGGTAATCTGCAAATTCTCTTCTGAGCTGTTCACACAACAGGCAGTATCGTGGTTAATGATGGTGATTTAATAAGTAAAAAACGAGTGTTTGGCATACCTTCCTCTGGGCAGGCAGCAGCAAAGGCAGTTGTATGTCAGCGCGCCACTGCTGAGCGGTGCTTTGTGGGGAGGCAGGAGATTTAGCTCTCAGACTCAGTTTGTCACGTGCTTCATATTTTTGCCTTGACACCTAGCCCAACTGTATCTACCAAGGATAACCACCCATACCCCTCCATTACCATGATACAAGGGCTGCAAACAAATTCCAGATACAATAACACTGATTCAAGATGAGGAAAGGTAAGCAGCGAATATAACACGCATGAATTTCAGTGGTGTTTTCCTATCTGAGGTCTGACGGCCGAGGAAGCGGGGGTATACGCTGGTTTGTTGCGGGAAGGGGTCTCCTGTGGTGAGCCCGTAGCTCGCCAAAGCACAGGGGCTGCATGGCATTGTCTAGGGTTCAACAAGAACCTGAACTGGAATAAAGATGCCTGCAGTCCCCCTCCTGCGCAGCTTGCCAGGCCACGCTGCTCCCACCCTGACGTCCCTCCCCACTGCCAGCCTGCAGCCACAGAGGCCCCACGTTCCCCTCAGCACCCACGGAGAGGGGAAGGCTGGCTCCTGTACTCATCCTGGTACAAAGAGGAATTAAAACATGCAACCAGTGCCAGGTGCAGAGAGCTGCCAGACAGGGAGGCGACAGTCGCCATGCTATGCCACAGCACGTGTGTATCCTTTGCTCCCAGGATGATAATGACATCTGAGCTATGGTGCCTTGTCCCATCCCTCCCACCACCCTCACCCAAAGCACCTCTGCCTAGCCTGAAGAGCTGGACATGCCTGTTGATGATGCCTTGCCTTGGACGTGCCGTTTTCTCATCATGTGCCCACTTCTCAGGGCTCACTGCTAACCCAGCTCCATCGTAGTGCATCCGAGTGACAGTACGTGCGTGGTAATGCTACAGCCATACATCCGTGCTCATCCCCTTCGCCTCACAGCCGTACTGACAAAGCACGAAGGCTATCTTCTAGCAAAAAAGCAACAAATACTCCCGTGATCCCCAACGGGCTAACGTCCGGCAAAAAACTAATGCAATCACTTCTTCAGGCAGAAGGGTGAGCTGTCTGTTTGCATGGTGCCATGCACGTGGCTGCAAGTCCTGGGTGCCCCAGCCTCGCCGGCAACTCCAGGGCTTGCCATCCTCCAAGCCCACAGCACAAGAAAGTCACGCAGCCCACGTCTACATCAAGTAAAATTAGCTTATTTGTTGTTCTTAATACACTAGGAAGGCTTCCACAAGATGTCAGCCTAACTAAATGACAACGCTAGCCTCAGGGTGCAATTCTACTTTTCCAGTGCGCGCGTTTAGCAGGAAAACCAGCTCTTTTGCTGCTTGAGGAGTGGGCTAAGGGAGAGGCCCCCCGAGAGGGTTATTTGGCCCTAGCAAGCTTATTCCCAAGGCAGACATGCCATCTTCCCTCCCCATGTTGCACATGACAATTCAGGCTGCTACTTCGAAGCACCCTTTCTGGCAGAAGTCCCCGGATGGCACTCGTATGTGGTTTTCCTCAGCATGCAAGTGAGTTTTCAGTCTCAGGAGAAAAGCAATCATGTAAGTTTAGCAGACAGCTGGGGTTTATTCCCAGCCTATTACACCTTGACACCCCAGGCAGCTCCCAAGGAATAATGTGAATATTTACCACAGAGTTCCAGGCTTAAGAGAATGAGATGCACGCTTTCGGTAATATCTGTTATTTCACGACAAGTGCACATAAAAACATGTTTTGCTAAGAAAAGCGCCCATAAAGTTCGCGTTAACAGTTTCCCAAACAAGAAACTTGCTGGCAAGGTGCTAAATAGCCCTTGTTTGGTTATGGGCCAAAGAATGGAGAGCTTTAGAAAGGAAGCAACTTACCCTGTTTGAACATTAACTCATAACTCTGTGCCAAGTTACACAATCTTAATCTTATCTTACAGAAACTGATGCAAAAAAGCAAAATGTTTCTAAAAAGATACCTAATCAGCCTCCTGGTATTAGCAAAAAGAGGTAGCACAGAAGAGGACTAACATTTGACCTTATAGCCATTGCCATTTTATTAATTATACCCTTTGGAATGCTGTTTTTAGATGTTATCATATTTAAATGTTATTAATATTCAAATCAACACTTCAAATCAGGATTTTGCACCAGATGAGCCGCTATGAGAAGCACAACCGCAGGTTCTGGGGTGCAGTGATTCGGTCGGGCAGCTGGCGACTGACAGCTAAGGCTGGATTTCGGCTTCTGTACTTTGCAAATGGTGAAGATTAAACATGAAGAAACTCTTCGAGTAGGTTTGTGTAATTTCTTTGTGTGTATTTCTTTCACTCCAGAGCAAATGTGAAAATATTTACTATGGCAGAGCAATTTAAGAAGTTTATCCAGCATTTCCTAATTTGCTTTATCATTAGAGATAGTTACTTTCCTTATGGGTTGGGGGTGAGGGTTTTGCTTTGCTTTGGTTTTTTGAGTGGGTTTGAGGTGCTCTTTTTGTTTTCTTGTTTTTAAAGAGTTCACCTTCTCCATCCCTTTACTTCCCACTTAGCACTTCCCTTCACTCTGCAGGACAGCCCACCACAGAAGCAAGTACCGCAGTCGGTATTACAATTACACCATGGGACAGCAAAGGGAGAAGGTGGCAGAAACCAGCAAGTCTTAGTTTAAGTAAGTACCCCTAAGGAACCAAAGTTTAATAACAAGGGTAAAGATTTAAAAATAGAATGGCTGGAGTTTTGACGCAATTCATCATCTTCCTCCATGGGAAGTTTGTCATTCTCGGCTCATCCCATATCCTGAGGTCGCGATACCTCGCTGCTACAGAGCAAACATTTGAAAATGTCTTCTACTACAGTACTGCCTTGTATCTCAAAATGAAAATAAAAAAAGTTTATCCAGCTTGCTTGGAGCAGGAAGCTAACACCCCCCTGCCTCATCCACATCAAGTCAAGGCCAGAGCAGCTGCTCCAAAGGCCTTCCTGTGCACGCAAAAATCCTAAACCGCCCCCCCCCAAAATTTAAATCAAGTCTGTTCATTTACCTTTCAGTGCCTGCTGTCCTGGAGGAGAGTTTGCTCCAGATAAAAGGACAATGAACTTTCAAAGCAAGCAGCCATGACAGCGCATTCGCCTCCTCCACGCTGTGCGTGCACACTCTGGCCGGAGACCGGCTCAGCTGTAACAGCACGGGCAGCTTTGCAGGGTCACCATTTCTGCAAATGCAAATTTCTGCAACTCTGAAACACAGGGATAACTGTTACGGACCTAGCCCACAGCGAGATGCTAATGGAAACAATGTCCTCCTTCCACAGGGGGCATATAACACCAGAATGTAATTGGTGACAGCAAGGAAGCCTCAAACAGCTCTGAGCCCCGACGGTAAATGCCAACCTCAGGACTTCTTTTCCTGCACTCCTGTTCCCAGGAAGAAGCAAGTACAAAAGCCACCGTTTGGGGGGGAAAAAAAAAAAAAAAAAAAAAAAAAAAAAAAAAAATAGATTTTCTAGTTTCATAACTGCATGCTGTCAAGCTGGATTCCAATTAAATTTTTCCTGTGCCCTAACGCGAGCTTTGCTTTTTCCAGAAATTTCTCATCACTTGAAACATTCGCTCCTGTCCTTTGCTCCCGGGCTGTGTGCTGTACTTTCTGACACACCACCTTCATCTAAGCGACTGTTCTCTCCCTTTACCACTTTGCAGGGACCGCAGTTGCACACAGTTGTTACGCGTAGCTTTAAGCTGCCAAATCCCTCTCACCTCCGTGCGAAGCTGGTGCTAGCCAGCATCCTGTTCAAACTGTGCATACTTCACATCTAAAAGTTCCTTTTATGCAGGGATATTTAGCAGAAAACAGGCAGCAGCTAGCACTAAGGCACTTCCAACCGCTGCTCTGCGCTGCTTTTGAACACCAGCTGAATACAGCCAGCACAGATGTGGGGGGGGAGCGGGGTGGTGCAAGTCTTTCCTATTCCTTCTATCGTGGGGACGAAGGACTCCTAACGTTGATTCGCCCCCCACCCCCCCCATCAGCGGTCTTTAACACGATCACAGTATGCACCACAATGCTTTAAAACAGCAAAGCTTCTGGAAAACCCAAACAAAAGGAACGTCACCAGGTGACGTCAGCCTATATACAGCCCTGTGTGGTCGCAGCGCATAAGCAAATCCATTCTTGTACCGCTTCCCTGAAAAGCTTTTCAGTAAATGCACTCATGCTACTACAGGAGCTTCTCTCAGCAATAAGCCACCCATCTGCCATCAACAAGTTAGGACTAAAGGAAGCCACAGCTGCGGAAAAAGAAAACGTGAGCTTCAGTTAAACAGCTGAGCAGCCACGGAGGACGAAAACTTGTATTAAGCCTTGGTTTAAAAATTGCAGACCTGTCAGAGGAGATCAAGCCAGTGATTTCAAAAGGAATATTCCAAGAGAGCATCGTGGATTCAATTTTGCACTAATATCAAAGGACACTAAACCCCGTAAATTATTCAAAGGCTATCTTACATTAAAGCCTTTTACAGACTCACCGCGTTGAGTCTAAAACTACGACTGAATGCAACCTCCAATGTACTCAAAAGAATGGGTAAGTTCCTACGTTTCTATATACCTTGTATAATGAATGACCGGCTATGCTTTAAAGGAGCAGTTAGGTGCTAAAGCAAATTTTTCTGCACTGAACCTTATGAAAAAAAATGTTTTCCGATTGTGACCCTGTAATCCTCCGTAATAGAGATAAAGACTCGTCTTAAGTGTAATATCCAAGTATTCTGTGTTTCATAGTAAGTTGTTTCTTGCATTTAGAATTAGCTTGTCGGAAATGCATGGCAATGTTATCTGCAGTGAAATCTTCCATCGTGATGTTCAAAGTATACTGATAAGGCTATCCTATCTTGTTGTTTTCCTAAATTATATTCTGCAGGCTTACATTTCAAGTGGCCATTAGGGGCTCGTATGCTGGCAGCACTATATGCAATGAGTATGGTTTTAAAAATGCTGCCTGCCTTGGGCATGGCTTGTCCACCAAAATGTCGCTGTGAGAAGCTGCTCTTTTACTGTGACTCTCAGGGGTTTCACTCAGTGCCAAACACCACTGAAAAGGGCTCGCTAGGTTTGTCACTGAGGCACAATTATATTTCTGAACTTGAAAGGGATCAATTTGCAAGCTTCAGTCAACTTACTTGGCTTCACTTAGATCATAATCAAATTGCAACAGTCAGAGAAGATTCTTTTCAAGGACTGTATAAACTTAAGGAATTAGTCTTAAGTTCCAACAAAATCTTTCATTTGCCAAACACAACTTTTAGCCAGCTGCTTAACCTGCAGAATTTGGACCTCTCTTTTAATCAGTTATCCTCTCTGCATCCCGAGCTCTTCTACGGCCTTCGCAAGCTACAGACCTTGCACTTGCGATCCAACTCCCTGCGGACCATCCCGGTCCGCCTGTTCTGGGACTGTCGTAGCCTGGAGTTCCTGGATTTGAGCACAAACCGCTTGCGAAGTTTGGCTCGCAATGGATTTGCGGGATTAATCAAGCTGAGGGAGCTTCACCTAGAGCACAACCAGCTGACAAAGATTAATTTTGCTCACTTCCTCCGGCTGAGCAGCCTGCACACGCTCTTCTTGCAGTGGAACAAAATTAGCAACTTGACATGTGGGATGGAGTGGACCTGGGGCACCTTAGAAAAGCTCGATTTGACTGGAAACGAAATCAAAGCCATCGACCTAACCGTCTTTGAAACTATGCCTAACCTTAAAACCCTCCTAATGGATAACAACAAGCTCACCACTCTGGATTCCAAGATCCTAAGTTCGCTGACATCCCTCACCACCGTGGGCCTCTCCGGCAATCTGTGGGAATGCAGCCCAAAGATCTGCGCCTTGGCCACATGGTTGAGTGGCTTCCAAGGTCGGTGGGAGCACTCCATCCTCTGCCACAGCCCCGACCACACCCAGGGAGAGGATATTCTGGATGCAGTGTATGGTTTTCAGCTTTGCTGGAATTTATCGACTGTTGTTACGCCCGTGGCTACGACGTACACCGTTCCGACTACCGAGTACACGAAAAGAATAAGCTCTTCTCATTTCCATATGGGAGACAAAGAGATTCCAACTACGGCAGGCATGGTCGTTACCACTGAAGAACATTTCCCCGAGCCAAACAATGCCATCTTCACTCAGAGGGTAATTACAGGAACAATGGCTTTATTGTTTTCTTTCTTTTTTATCATTTTTATAGTGTTCATCTCCAGGAAGTGCTGCCCTCCCACATTAAGAAGAATTAGGCAGTGCTCAATGATTCAAAACCACAGGCAGCTCCGATCCCAAACACGGCTGCATATGGCAAATATGTCAGACCAAGGACCCTATAACGAATACGAACCCACCCACGAAGGACCCTTCATCATCATTAATGGCTACGGACAGTGCAAGTGTCAGCAGCTGCCGTATAAAGAATGTGAAGTATAATACCTACATGCCATCAAAAATTAAATCAGATAAGTAACCTATTTTAAAATTGTAGGGGACCTACATCAGATTCTAATTTTTACAAATGTTGACATGAAGCCTAATTTTCCAAGCTACTTAATGGAAACATTGTTTATGGAGTGGTGCAGTATTTTTAAGTTTTTTAAAAAATAAATCCATAATATTTTCAGTGTTAAAGAAGCAATGATTACATTAAACTTGCACTCCTGATGTTTAAAAGTCTAAAAAGATGCTCACCTCAAACTATGTAGAATGTTTCATGTTATGTAATTATATGACTGTGTGTAAACATTTATACCCAAGTCTCCATATTCTACTTTTTTTAATGAAAGCAGTCCAAGGGGAAGGATACTGGCTATCTGTACAGAGATCTGCGGGGGGGGACATACACTCCGTTTGTTCCACTGCAGCTGTAGGATCCCAAACGCTCCAGCTGGCTCTCTCCACTTTAAAGGCACCCGTGGAGGAAGATTTTCCTCCTCTGATAATTTCACTCCAGTAAATGAGGGCAGGGGAAACAAAAAGAAAAAAAAAAAAAAAAAAAAAAAGGCAATGAAAGGCCAGGTGGGGATTTAGTGCATGGGGACCGGTGAATTGGTTTTAAATACAGTTTTCCTATCTGTATTCATAGTTTGGCTTGCTTAAAGGGACCTTGCTAAAGCTCCCAACAGATAGAGAAAGGAGCAGTTCACAGGGTCACAAATTAGCAGGAATGTCACAAATTAGCAGGATGACTCTCCAGGCTCTTACAAAGTAGGCAGCGTAGCTTATTTAGGAAGGCTCAGTGCGATGGGATCGATTCTAAATATTAAGTGCATTCAATTCTTCTCAGCTCTCTGGTTTGACTTGATGATGCTTTTCATAAATTCAGGCTAATTACTTACAACTACGAACAAACAGCATTTCAACACCTTTTCATGGGTAAATATCCTTAATGCCAGTTTTTCTTAATTAAAAGTAAATATCAACGGCGAGCTTAAGAAAAGGGAAGGAAGGAAGAAGCCTCTCTTTGTCCCCCTGCTCCCCCCCCAGCTGAGGCTTCCTCTTGCCTGGAAGCTATTTTCATGCACTAACTCCACTGGTTTCTCTGGAGACAGAATTAGCCCCTGTAATATAAGCTCTCACTCATCCTCCTCTTCCAAAATTCAAGGTAATTACCAGTTCAAAAAAAAAACCCACCCCAAAAAAACATACCTTCTGATAAGTTAGGAAAATAATTAGTTTATAGAATAGTTCACTGAAAAATGTTTCGTTTCTTACTTGATATGGGACAGAATCTAAACTAGTATGCCATCTTAAAAAATCCTATATAAATATATATATACACACACCTACATGCACCTCATTGTTAAGGAGTAATTTGATTTCTTTAGCCAGAAGTACCATATTGCTATTTATATTATACTATGAAATTATATGTAAATATTTGCAGATCTATGCAGCAACGGTGGTACTCAGATGCCACGGGGGTGGGGGGGTGGCGGGGGGTCTGCAAAAGATTACATTATTTTTAAGTCAACTGCTCAAATATTGTAAACATTCTAACCAAAGCTAAAAGGACCAGAGGGATGGAAAATTTTTTATATATATATATATATACACATATGTATGACTAAAAAAAAAGTGTTGTGTCCAATGCTGCAGTGTTAAACGATTACCAGCACACATGGATGAAGAAATTCCTCACAGTGTTGACATACCTTGAACAAATCAGTAATTACAGTATGCTAATTGTGTTGTACTAAACTATTCCGCAAACTTTTTAAACAGAAAAATCACTGCATAAAAATCTGTTTGCTATTTCACTCTGCTTTTATATATCTGTATTACCACTTAGTGAGGTATTTAGGGTGCAATTATACAACAGTTTGATGTTTTATTGTGAAATGAATTCGTCCAAGGCAATTATAGCAAGATAAGTGTGACTTCTGTTAAGATTTTACATAAAGATTTTTCAATTACTGGTTTTGAAGATATTAATTTGCATCATTTTACTTTTACATACAGTGCCCTTATTATAAAACAAATATTTTGTTTAATTCCTGTGACTCTGTACTTTAATGGAAGAGATTCGATGAAGCCTAATGGTTTTCCATAGAGATATTTTTAAACACTCGTAACTGTTTATACTACGATGAGCTGATTTACACCTATTCTAGGAAATCAATTACTGCTTTTGACCGAATACAATAAATCCTGCAGGGCAGGCGGACAAAGAGCAAATATTCTGTATGATTAAATCCCACGTGAGCCAGAAGGCCAGAGCTAAGCTGAAAATGTGTTGGCATCCAAGGGTATTTAGCTGCTTGTAGAAAGACTTGCTTCATTCCTTACCACAAGTAAGTGCTCACCGCTCTTTTTTTTTTCTTCTGCTCTTGCTCTGGGCAGGTGAGCGTGCGTCGCTGTCTCAGCAGCAGCCCATCCCTGCCTGTGCACCTCCCTTACCTTGTGCTAACCAACACGATGGTCTGCGCCAGGGGGAACTGGAAAGCAGACACTTTTGGGAATGCTTTTCATGTACAGCTGTAGGGCACCAACAGAGAGAAAGTTATAACTGAACTCATTAATTACACTGGCAGCCAAATAATCTTGCTACACTATCATCAACCATCAGATGTCAATACTGAACTCTGGTGTCCTCAGCTGCATCTGCAAGGAGGAATTCCACCTTTCTCCTCCATGCAGAAACCCTTGCTGCAAGACAGTTTGGAAGGTAACACGTCAGTCTTCCACGCGATAACAAGAAGTGGCCGCTTGACTGAAGTGCTGAGGCTCCTCCCGAGGAGGTGCTTTCCCAACACCCCAGCTCTGCGCAGAAGCCCACTCCATCTTTATTAGCTTATAATTATGCCCCAAAAGAGCAAAGACAGATGTTCCAGCAATGCTGCATTTAATCCTCTTCTCCACCCCAGCCACTCAAACCAATTTTCCAAGCATTAAAGCGCTGTTCCAGTGTCTCTCACACACCCAGGTGCCCAACTTATCTCCTCCACCAGTATCTATCTCCCCCATTTCCACTGGTCCTGCATGGCTGCCTGGGCTTGCAGGCAGAGAAGCAGGAGGCCAGCAGACACAGCCTAGCACAGAACCATTCAATTTTACTTTGACTCTCTGTACTACACGCTAATACGCAGCCAATCTCCCAAATGCCGTGGTTTATGCCTGCCATTTCCAAAACCATTTGTTGCCAGGTTCCGGGCATAAGCAAAGCAATTCCACAAACATTACATTTAGGGTAACAGGTATCATAAAACTCGCAGAATGTCAAACACTAGCAGTGAAGTCAACTTGAATTCCCTTAGGAGGGACAGCAAGCAGCAGGCAAAGCCATCGCTCGGCACAAGGACACGACCAGAGGCTGTTAATTTTTTTTTATTTTTTTTAAAGTTACTGTCTTCCATTCTCAATTGCTTGTGACTCTTCCAGGCAAGGAGGGTATTGTAATAATTGCATTACTCAGCAGTGTCTCTGATTTATTTTGTTTATGGAACAAGAGCCACGATGATTTGGTTTGAATTTATTGTATTTCAGTACAAGCACTGGCTGATGACAAGAGGTTGTTATTAACTTGCTCTCCTCAAATTTCGTCTCTGTTGCAGAGCCTCAGTTTCTACAGATACTAAATAGCATTATAGGTGCTTCACCACCTCTAGGCACAGCCTCATGCAATCGTTCAGGGCCTTTTAGAAGTGAAAAATTTCTTCTACTGCTCTTGAGATCCTCGTCCCATCCAAAGATTTCCTCCAGCCTCGCTGATCCCCAGCCAGCTTTTCCTCCTCCCCACCCTCGCGTCAGTGAAATGCAAACCTAGCAGCACAAGTTCAATTTTTGAGTCATCATACTGGAACAGGTCTGAATTAATGCTTTCAGTTCCCCTCTCATTAGTCGCTCTGCATTAGATCATCGTTTAAATGCACACAACTAAAAATTACTCGATAAAGAGTAAAATGGGTTAGCGTTTAGTCTCCAGCTGAAGTGTTCCTCTGCGCAGAGCTCCCATTTCCTATCAGATGGAAACATAATTAATGCCGCTGTATCAATGTTTGGTTTTGTTTGCTTTTCCCCCAAGCAGAAATGATCTGATTTTTCAGCGATAAGCCTAGCCTGCGTGCAAATCTAAGCTTCTGAGCCTATGTCCCATTACCCCCCTTAGAAGGCAGTAGCCTATTGCTAACATGTAAAATCAGAAATATCCAGTGGCTTTAAACCAGAAATCTGCACTACACAACTTATTTTTTAATGTCTCTAAGTTAATTTCTATACTACTTTAATGAAAATAAAGTTGATTTAATTTTGTGATCTGTGTAGCTATCAAAATCCATCTGTTCAGACCTATGAAATCTACCCAGAAGCTGAATTTCATCTGTCTTATGAAGTTTTCCATAGAAATTAAAAGTTCAGAGAGGGATACAGTATTTCTCCTCCCTCCAAAAAGGAACAACAAGGAAATGACAAAAATCAAAGGCAGTTGCACAGCAGCAGCTCCTCCCTCCCCAAGCCCTTCTCCATTGCATAGGGTCCTGTACGCTAGAACTGGTGCCAGGCTTTGCTTTTTAAGCTATCATGCTAGCAGGATGCTTAAAGATCATTTCAGAGTCATCCGGAAATTCAGCATTTCAAATCTTGGATAAAAACCTTTTGAGAGGTATCTAGGGAAAGGTAGCAGAAGCTTTGATGAACGTCATCAAGCCTCAGACAGGGCAGAACTTGCGCTACCTAAGGGCACACCACCATGCAGCCTGTGCACCGCTGGTGTAAGCAACAAAAAGCTGCACCTTCTACCCTTTAACCCCTCCTCTGTAAAAAAAACAAACAAAACCCCCCCAAACACCACCAAAAAACGCTAAAAAAGCCACAGACAAAAGCCACTATTTTTCTTTTTGCCATCATGAAAACATTAGTGAGTGAACTATTCTACCAGCTTAGCAACCAGAGATTAAAAAGAAGGCATCTTAGATGCATTGTACTGAAATTATGTTTAAAGAGCCACTTTCTGGTGGGAGGGGGTGTAAGTAATGGAGTAAAACAAAGTGCAGTGTACAGAAAAATTTTGTTATTAAAATTGTGTATACTGTAAAACTGAATTTGCCTCTTTCTTCCTCCCTTTTCAAACAGAGATGTCAAAAGCTCATTCTTTCACAATACATAAAGACCAGGCTACAACCTCTGCAGTTTAAGAACACATGAGCACTATCCAAAGCAGACAAGTCAGGTTTGGGCCAGTCCATTTGCCATAGTCATAAAACACAGCACTTTCTGTTTTACCACAACAAATGAGCAGGTCTGCATGGGTTCCTCTCAAACAAAGTGTCTCTTAACTAGCAAAAATGTTTGTATAAGCAAGATGAAAGAGTGGAAAGCAAACCATAGCCAAACTCTCACCCCTTGAGACCGAACCCCTGTGAGTACCTGCATCAGAAACAGCACAGGCAGTAGCATCCTCTCCAGTGCGCCGGCATGAGCCTGGGCATGACCCGGCAGAGGCCGCCTTGCAGGGCTGCTGAGACCTGGCTCTAACCCTGGGCATTCCCCTTGGGTTGCCCAGTAGACCAACCCTTGGTCATGGTGCCAGCCAGGAACGCGGCGTTTCCAACGGGACCACCTTGCCAAGAGTTTAGCAAGGACAAACAGCCCATATCATTTAGAGATGTCAAACTAGCAAGACATCACTTCAGCTCTGAATTACAGCCATCTAGAAAGTGTCAGAAATACATTCCCTGTACAAGAAGTGTTCTTTATGTGGGCTACCGCAATGACCGCAATGTTCGAAATCACGGTGCTTCAATAACATGAGAAAGATTTCCGATTTAGAGAAGTGACAAGTTCACGGACACAATCCAAAAGCCTTGATACGGGAGCTGAACAAAAGAACAAGTTTCAGGATGTTGCAAGATGAATACATGCACTGAACTGCCAGCTAAAATCATTTTAGTAACTAAGCCTTAGCTGCATTTACTTTTTTGCAAAAGGCTTGGCTGGAACAAGTTCTCAAGGGTTTTAAATGTCAGCTGGCTAACTGCCTCTCAAATCCTACTAATACTTCAAAGAAGCACACGATAAATCTATTTTCTTAAACTCTCAAAGAGACTAATTTTAGGATAAAAAGCATCTCTCAAATGCAAAACCAGTTGTTTTCACAAGCAAAGGTAAGATACATAAGAGAAAAAAAGGTATGCTGAATACACTATGCAAAACCTTTAAATCCAATTAGTCACAAGGAAACGTCAACATCACTAGCAACTTACTTTTAAATATAGGCTGTGTTAAAACAATTGCAAAAGATAAAAAAATAAAAAAATTGAGACTCAAGAATCTGACCGGAGAAGACTGCACAAGTGAACTGAAAATTGCAGCACATCTGGGAAAGCGCCGACTCCCTCCTCTGGTGAGTGTACCGGCTAAGGGACAGCATTCAGTTCATCCACCATAAAACCCTAATGTTCATATTTACTGTAATCTGATCTTTAGGAAAAAAGCTTTATTAAATCATTACCTAATCAACAATTTCATTACTGTAAAGATACTAGGAAACCAATTTTACTATAATTAATTAAAGCTCTATCTCTCATGTTTGACATCAGGAAGCACATGGTCCAGGAGTTATTTTGGAAGAAATTCTTTACAGTGAGGGTGATGAAACCCTGGCAGGGGTTGCCCAGAGAGGGGGTGGAGGCCCCATCCCTGGGAACATTCCAGGCCAGGTTGGTTGAAGGTATCCCTGCTCCTGCAGGGGGGTTGGGCTGGGTGACCTCTGGGGGTCCCTTCCAACCCAAAGCATTCTATGAAACAAACAAACAAACAAAAAATACTACAGTTGCCTCATTAACAAAATTTCATGTTTATTTCTGTGATGCATGACTAAAGAGGTTTGGCTACTAAGGGCATTCAGCAAACACTTCTGGGCTGAGAGGTAACAAAAACATTCTTTTAGTTCTTCTGCTGGCTTTAATCAACAAGGTGTAAGAGATTTGACTTTTTCTTCTTTCTTAGCCTGCTAAAAGGACAAGACCAAAGACTTAAATATATACAAAAATCATTTGAGACCTTCTGAATTGGCAGCATAGGAAACAGCAGCCAGGAGCTGAACAGTGCCCAGAGGGGAATATATCTTGAGTGAAATGCAAGGTCTTCTCCCCAGTATGTAACACAAACAGCTTCCAAAGCACACACAAGCAAAACTAAAGCGGTATCCTCTACTACCAGGACACTTTGAGAAACTAATAAATCTTCCTTTTAAAAAAAGAAGTATTTATTTTAAATGCTGTTCAAGTAATTTACCCCTGTTTTCTCCCAGCATGCTCTACTAACTTGCGTGTTGAATACTCAAGCAAACTAGACACAGAGAAAGCGCTGGTTTTCTTGTCCACCAATCTACCCCTAAAGAATGTGCAGTGCAGCCACTGTTTGATACAGGTGCATTATGCTTCATACCAGTTTAAAAAAGCAGCCTTATTTCATGGAAAGTCTTGAAGTAAGTGGAAAAGGTTCATCCATCAATAAGGTTCTTAAATAATGAATGGGTCATAATTCTTTCCAGTCAAAAGCAATTCATTTTCTGTATTATAATCAGGAGAATAAATCTGAGAAATCCATTCTAATGGCTCTGAATCTGAAGGTAGTGTTGCAGCTGAATTTTTAATCTTAAAATACAGGAGCAATGAGGACTTCTGCTGTTTAAACATACAATCTTCTACCAAACAGAACAGCTTTACTGCATATTTAATAGGTAGAACGGGTTTTGCGGGACTGCATGAGATTAAAGACAGCACTAGACACAGGAAATGCATTTCAAGTAGAAAGGTCCTTCCAAGATACTTCTCAACTGCATAGCTACCAAAATTCTTAAAATTCCCTTTATGAAATGTACAAAATGCTGCAGAGAAGCTTATTGCAAAAAGTAGTTTTACTGATATGTTTGCAAAGAGCTAAAAATATTGCTAAGAGTGCTAATGCAGAATCCAGCTCAACCCTACAGCAAGTATTTTTATTAGGATGCATTTGCTCCCTTCCCTTTAACTAAGTCCTAAATAATCCATCACGTATTCAGAACCTCTACCTCAAAAGCCATCTGCTGTTCGACAGGACTATCAATTTCTGCCCTCAAATAGATTGCTTCAACCCTGATACCACCTTAAGTTTTTAATCTTTCAGAGAAGAAAACCGTAAAATTAATAGAGCTCTTAGTAAAGCTAATAATGACACAATCTGTTAGCAGTGAGAACACAGGACAGGGACACAGACTACAAGTGAGTTTCCATCTCTAAAGGCATCACACAACAGTTAACAAGGGGAAAATGCACACGCATCCCCCTGCACCGCAGAGGCTTTTCAGAAGCTTTGTTATAACAATCTCTGCTTTGGGTAAGTCAAATCTGAGCTCTCCAGGCTGACTCACCTGACCCAGAAGGGAGTCACACAGCGAACATCCTCAGCGCACACCTATCAAAGGATGCCAGCCGGGAACAAACTACCAACTTGAGAAAACCACACAGCAGGCCGTTCTGCAGGCCCCCAGGTCTAACTGTGTACCTCTCATTTAAAGAGCAAGAGATATTAAAGCATCATCTACGTTGTCCTCAGGATAAGACAACATGCTTCAGTAAAGACGTGGAACTACTTATTGATCGAGTCTAGCCCTGAAGCATGCCATCCCCAAATGAACAGCAACATCTGTTGTACCAAGGTCTACAGAGACTTAGGACTAACTCCACATTTGAAATTCTGGTTGAATAATTTAAAGGGTAAGGAATTCCTCCTCAATCTTTCCAGATAGTCCTGAAGATGGAAATAGCTGTGTCGTAGCTTCCAGGTAGGACAGACACCTAGCTCAGCACCTGGGGGAGCAGCAGACCACTCACTGCAAGACAGACCTGCAGCATAGGCAGCCAAGTTTCTAATTCCTAATGACAGCTGGAAGCTCTATAGGTATCAAGTGTATCCTTTAGGCTTCAGGCCTTCAAGAATTTAACAGCCATAGGGCAGGCAGGAAGATAAAGTCATCTCTAGTTTAGATTCTTTATGGACGACCGGTTTAGCTCTGGGACATCTATTAGCACCATGGCAGCTGCGGAGCTTGGAAGTAAGAGAGCTTTGGCTATATGTATGACAGATGCCTTTTGCCTGCAATTAGCATCCTAGTTCTAAGACACCAGAAACTTCAAAAAAGGCTCAGGTTAGACATTTCATTTGGTTGAGCTACAGGAAAAAAAAAAAAACAAAACACAGTAAGCTTTGTCCCATACTGCATCTCTAACAAGCCACTGCCCTCCTGAGCAAAACAAAAATAATAGTGACCTTCGACAAGTTCCTATAGTCTATAGTGACGATTAACTTTTAGGAGGTGTCCGTACATCCTTTACTGAAACCACAAAGCGGCACGCTCAAGGTCCCAAGTGCAATGAGCTTTTGCCAGGTATCACGCTCTGCCTGTGAGTGGAGAGAGGTCTCTAGACCAGCTAAAATACATCAGCCCTTTGGATGAAGGGCATCTGCCGCCCATAGTTAAAATAATTAGTCCACCACGTAACATAATGTAACAATGAAATCAGGACAATGGCATTTCAGGTATTTACAGACCATTCGTGCGACTTCAATATACCTTCCGTGCTGGGAACTGCTGAACAAGCTGCAATGACCCTTCCACTCCAGGTTTTGGATTTGTCTGCCATGTAGGTATTTGTTGACAAATCTAAAACTTGGAGAAAACCACCACTTTGTTCCAAATGTGGTAAGTGTTTATGGAATGAATTGAAAGCTCTTGCTCCCGTGCTGCAGAGATGCACCCTTTATCAGCAGGGGCCGGGACAGCAAGCATGCAGCAAACACAGCAAGGTTCTCATGCAAAAAGCACCAACATTACACGGAGACCTGGAACGTGAAAGCGCTCAGCACCCTCCTCTAACGTAGCTGAAGACTCCTCGGGGATCTTCCCCTGACTAACAGCTGTCTGACAGCACGCCGTAAAATGCGGCGGACAAATGAAAGCACTGACAAAGTGGAGAACGACTCCAGTGCACCACACAGATAAATTTCAGGGATATTACCCCTTCATATCTACAACTGTCTATGGACAACAATTAACTTGACAAAGCATGCCAATGAGAGTGTCCAGAGGCACATAAAAAAGTTTTATACTACATTCAAATGAGCTGATGCTACTAGACTACAGCCTTCTCGCTGCTTCTCGGTGGGCACTCGATCATTTGAATATATCACAGTAAAGCTGCATCAACAAAATAAGAACTTTCCAACACCTACTTTTACTGTCTATTTATTCAAAAATAGTAATCTTCATCAGGCAAATTAGTAAGTGATCATCAGCTTTAGAAACCAGTTTCAGTTGTTTATGCAAACCCAGCTACACTGCAGCACATTCAGTTCACTGCAACTCCTCTGACTTCAACCTGTGCTGTAACACAAGTCAAGAACCAAGTTTAGTCTTACTCACTGACCACCTGACACCCACGGGGAACCACAAAAATACAAGGAAACCCCTCCAAAAAGATGAGGTTATGTAAGTAACAAAATAATCCCACCACCCCGTCCCTCTAAAACATTAATTATGCACACATATGCAATGAATAAAAAATATAATAGCGATGTATGCAGTAAATCCACCCAAAACAATACGAAATATATGCAACCAGCGATCCTGGGGCTACTAATTGAAAGCAATATTTAAAAATCAAAATTAAATCTCAACACCACTCCCCCAAAATCCTGACTAATGGGCAAGTTTACCTATGGACAGCAGAAAAATTTCTAAAAATTTGGTTTCAAGACAGGTTTGGGCCTCTGCAGACGGGAATCTCTGCACAGAGACAGTTTCAAGGATATAGACAGTATCTTAGTCCCAGACTCCTCTGCTGTTAGTGTTAACCAATAACACAGTGTTATCTTTATCTATATAAAAGTACATCAGCTCTGACCATATCATCTTT